GGCAGGAGGAACCGAGTTCCTGCCTGCCACGTTCCCGGGGCTTTGGGCGTCAGCGGGGCCGCAGCGGGGAGAGGAGCGGGTGGGGGCAACGGCGGTGTGGGGTCCGCATCGGGGAAAAAGATACGTAAATGGGGGAGAGAGGAAGGGGCTGTAAAAGCTTGTAAAGAGTAAAAGCGTTCTGAAACGACGAAATAACCTTAGATGGCGCATTTTAGTGTCTGTTTTTGTAGAAGGAAGGGGTGGTGACGTGTGTTACTACAGTTAAACTATGCTGTTAATTTTAACGGGTTATTGTGAAAGCCAAAAGGAAATGGCTTTAGAAGGGTTAGTGGAGGGAAAACCGTCGGTGATTTGTTTCACAGAACAGTCCGAATGCAATCGGGAAGGCATCGTTAATTAGACAATGAGTCTGATGGGATTGGTGAGTTTTATGGATTTTGATCTGAACCAGTGATTTTGGTTTTATTTTTAAGCTTTTTATTACTGTATCATAGTCTGATTCCGGAATGGGATTTGATTGTTCTTTCCACATGTGGAAAGTGTGTTTAAAGCTTCAGTCAGAGTAGTGACATGGAAGAATTTTTAAGTTTCTAGTAACGTGTCATTTCACCAGAGCGAGAAATACAGGTGGAAAGTTTGGTTAGTGGTTGGGATGTTTGCTTTCACCTCTAGAAGCTTTATGGCTTTACCACAAGCTCTGAGTCTAATTACAACTTTGGGCAATTAATTATGGGCAGTTTTTATGTCTCACAGCATTTTCTCTTTTGATATTCTGTCTAGTCAACACAAAGGTGATAGTCCTTGCAGAAGGATATTCATAGACATGCCCAATTATGCTTCAGTCAGGGATCATTCCAACAGCCAAGGTTTTGTCCCAGCTCCTTCCTAGTGACGTGTACTGAGTGGGGAGGTTCGGAAATGCTGGGGTTATTTATCCCATATGTTCACAGGAGATGTAGTCATGTGTTAAGAGGAGGAGCCCTGGTATGTGGTGCACCTGGGCTTTTGTATTGGTTCATGAGGTGGAATGAATGCTGCTGAACTGCAGATTTGACTGTGTGCTTTCATTTTGATCCTTAAAGTGAAAGTGTGATCCCAAGGGAAAAACGTAAAGGCAATGTTTAGAAATAGCTTATGATAATGCAAGAAAAAGTATAGATAATTCGAGTTATGGAAGTATTGCTTTAGAGATGAAAATAGGAGCTTCTAATCTGTCATACATGCTTAGACTTTCTTTTTTCCCTTTAACGAAGGTATCGGCTAACACTGTGGTTTCGAAGATCTTACGGTTTATAATTAAGTGCTCAGTTAAAAAGCAGTGTACAAGATATGCAGTTATAAGTTAGAGTTTGGAGCAGAAGTATGTTTAAATAGTTTAAACAAGCTTAAGTCTTTATCTAATTTTTTTCCAGGCTACTGTTCCTCTGAGTCACCTTATCAATGCCTTTCATTCACCAAAAAGCTCCACAACTTCTGCCAGCAAAGCATCCATACAGCCTGTCCAGAGGGACACCTCTCCAGAGCATGATCCTCAGAAGAGTGAGGTACAAAAAACCTTTTCAAAAAGTGTTGGTTTAACTGATGTTAAATCTGAATAATAACAGTTTAAGTGGGTGTAATATATGTCTGGTCTATAAAATAATATAATGTGACTAAACAAAACAGGGTGTTAACATATAGAGTGTATCTTTGTGGCAGAACTGCAGTCAATCAAAGTGTTTTGCCAGTAAGGATTCTACAAAAAGACAGTATTTAATTTTAAAAAAGGAGCTGGTACTTGTCTCAGTAGTAGTTTGCAAATGAAAAAGGTATTTGTTTTCATTTCCAATTTAATGGTTCTTTCTGTAAAAGTAGCAGTAAGTTTTCTGTTAATAGACCCTATATTTTTATTCTGAGTTCTAGCAAAGTTT